AAAAGAGGGAGGGAGGGGGAAAGAAGACAGGAGGAAGGAAGGAGGGAGGGGGAAAGAAGGAGGATAGGAGTGGGGAAGGAAGGAGGAAGGAAGGATAGAGGTAGGAAAGAAGGTAGGGAGAAGGGGAAGGAAGGAGGGAAGGTAAGGAGGTAGGGAGCGGAGAGGAAGGAGGAGGAAAGCAAAGAGGAGAAGGGGAAGGAAGGAGGGGAGGGGGAAAGGAGGGAGGGAGGGGAAAAAGAGGGAGGGAGGAAAGAAGGCGGTAGAAGGGGGAAGGAAAGAGGGGGAATGGGGAAGGAGGGAGGGGGAAGGAAGGAGAAAGAAGGGAAGGAGGGAGGAAGGAGTGAAGGAGGGAGGAAGGAGGGAGGATGGGGGAAGGATGGAAGGAGGGATGGGGGATGACGGAAGGAGGGATGGGGAAGGATGGACGGAGGGATGGAAGGACGGAGGGGGAGGGAAGGAGGGAGGGAGGGGAAAAAGGAAGGGAGAAGGAGGGAGGGAAGGGAAGGAGGGAGGGGAGGGGGAAGAGGGAGGGGGAAGGAAGAAGGCAAGGGGAGGTAGGAAAGAAGGAAGGAGAAGGGGGAAGGAAGGAGGGAGGGGGAACGAGGGAGCAAGGAGGTAGGGGAGGAGGGAAGGAAGGAAGGAGGGAGGAAAGAAGGAGGGAGAAGGGGAAGGAGGAAGTGGGGAAGGAGAGGAAGAAGGAAGGACAAGGGAAGGAGGGAGGGATGGGGAAAGGAAGAAGGGGGCAGAGGGAGGAGGGAGGAGGGAGGGGGAGAGGAGAGGGGGAAAGGAATGATGAGGGGGCAAGGAGGGAGGGGGAAAGAAGGAAGGAGGAAGGGGGAAGGAGGGAGTAAGGAGGTAGGGAGGAGGGAGGGAAGGAGGGAGGGAGGAAAGAATAGGAGGGAGTAAGGAAAAAGGAGGGAGGAAAGAAGGAGGGAGAAGTGGAAGGAGAGAGGGAGGGGGAAGGAGGGAGGGAGGAAAGGAGGAGGGAGAAGGGGGAAGGAAGGAGTGAGAGAGGGGGAAGGAGAGATGGAGGGGGAAGGAGGGATGGAGAGAGAAGGAAGGAGGGGGAATGGGGAGGGATGGGGGAAGGAAGGAGGGGGGAGGGGGAAGGAAGAAGAGAGGAAGAGGGAAGGAGGGAGGGAGGGGAAGGAAGGAGGGAAGGGGGAATTAAGGAGAAAGGAGGGAAGGAGGCAAGGAAGGAAGGAGGAAGGAGGGAAGGAGGAAGGAAGAAGGGAAGGGGAAGGAGGGAGGGGGAAGGAGTGAGAACGAAGGAAGACCACTGAGTCTCCTCTCTGTGATTCCCAAATGCCCCCACTGACCCACACAGGGGTCTCTGCCCTGCCCTTGGACCTCAAGGGCTCCGTTCCTCACCTTGGAGGGCACCATGGTACCTGACCTTCCCCATCCCCCATAATGGGAAAAGCCACGTCATGGATCCCAGGCCCTGGAACGTGGGCCCACCGTCCTGCGCTTGTCCAGAGGTGGACCCTGGGTCAAATCTCCAAAGGTTCCTGCTCTCCACCCTTTGCTCAGGGAACCAAGTCGCCTGGCCTCCTCCACCGATACTCTGCATTACAGCCTCTTCGCACCAAAAGAAACGAGGAAGTGGCTCCTTCCTCCTAAAGCATCTTCTGGGTGACCAAGGCCCTGGTCACAACAGCCCTGGAAAGTGGGGAATTTGTCCTCACTTTGGAGGTGGGGAGATGGGGAAACTGAGGCTCGGAGAGGGCAGGACCCGCCTCCCTCCCTCCCTGCACCTGCTGCAGGCCAAGCCTACCTGGCACCCAGGAGGGCTGAGCCCAGCTTCCCGAACAGCTGACTACCCAGGCATCTTGGTGAAACTGGGATGAAGCCGGCTCCTGACTGGACCACCTGCTGCAGTGAGCGGGGGTATGGCTGGGTGGCGGAGTGCCCAGCTGATTCTAACTCCCAGTAATTAACCCCACTGCCGGAAGCCACTGTGGCCCCTACGGGCCTGGAGGAGCAAGAAGGGACTGGAGGACCCACGCTGTCCCAGTGTCGCCAGCAGGGGGCAGGGCTGCCTCACGCCGTGGGCACCGCAGCGGGCGCCGGGGCATCTGTCCTTGTGGGTCCTTGGGTTTCTAACCAGCTCCTTCATAACTGAGGGGGTGGGATGGGACCTGGTCCTGCCTCAGCCTCCCTTTGGGCAAACTCCTTCCTCTGGGGGCCTTTGTGAGCTGTGGGGACACAGCCCTGCAGGGGCTGCGGGTTCCCTCGGGGCATCTTTGCAGAGGGGGCTCGCTGCGGAAAGGCAGGTAGAAAATGACAGACTCAATGGCCTCCCCGCCCCGATGCTGTCTGAGTCCCTGCCGGGGGGCAGCTGTGCCCATCTGAGAGTCCAGGGGACTGGGCTGCAGGCTCTATGTGGCCTTTCCCGATGTCTCCACGCCCCCGCCCTATCCTCCTGAGGCCCCTGAGACTTTCCTGACCTCCTCTGCTCACCCGGGTGCAGCTGTCCTTGGGCACAGCGACGACCCTCCTCCGCCCTGAGTGTGCACTGCCTGCACACAGTGCAGGGGCTGCCCCGTTCTCTCAGGAGGTGCTGTCAGGATGCACCCCATTCCCCACGCCTGCCCTTCCTCATTACGCTGTCTGCTGGCTGATGGCAGAGTCAGAACCACAGGGAGCTCAGCGGCACCCATCCAGGAGCCATGTGTCCCTGCCCCCACCGCAGGTGCCTGAGCCCCTGCCCCTCCCTCGCCTCTCAGTTCACAAACCTCCAACCCACGCTGGCTCACTGTCGCTGCCTGAGCGTGCTGGTGAAGAACTTATCAAGCCAGCATCTCTGGTCCAGAGGGACAGCCCTGGGCAAGAGTCGCCGTGGCAACCAGATGCCACAGGGAGGCCCAAAGCTGGGTTGTCCTGCGATGCCATGCCAGCCGGCAGCCTGGAGTTTCTGCCCGGCTGGTGGGAGCACGGGGAGGTGTTCACGTCCCTGGAGGGGCACCAAACTCCCCCCACGCTCACCCCAGGAAGTCCCGTAGTAACGCCCTGCCCCATTATTAAAACCAGCACCAAGGCCCTGGGAACCCGTGGGGAGCTTCCCCTTCCTGGGGTTCTCCCAGAGCCCCGAGGGCTCTGTGTCCTGCACCCACATACCTGAGCTTTCCCTTTTTGTCCCTGCGCCCTGGCCTGAAAACGCCGAGGGCTCACTCACCCCAAGGACGGGTGTCCGTGGAGGCTGTGCCCAGAGTCCAGGGGACCACCAGGGGACAGAGTCAGGTTCCAACTGCTGGTGTCTCACACAGCAGCACTCAGCCATGTGCGCACATGTGCAGCAGGACGGGAGGCCCCTCAACAGGGAGGCCACAACCCAGCTCCAGAGGCCCCAGGGTCGACCCCTTTTCCAGACCATGGAAGAGGCCCACATGCTTCATGCGTGTAAAATTATATGCAGAGAACGTGGGTGGGCCAGACCCAGGAGGCCAGGTTGGCAGAGCGCTGTGCCAATGAGGAGAAAGCAGGTGGGCACTTCGAGGACTCTGCCCTCCCTCGGGGTCCATTCACACTTGGGCCCCTCTGGAGAAGCCCAGGCTGGTCTTGGTGGGCAGAGCCGAGGCCCTGGCAGAGGAGGGTGTGTAGCCCGGGGAGCCTCCTCTGGATCTGCAGCTGGGACCCAGGGCGGCTCCTAAGATGGCAAAGTGAGTCCAGACTCCTGTGGCACCCACCATTCAGCCACAGTTGAGGGCCAGAGAGTGACCCAGAGTTCCAGGGCACAGCTGCTGTTCCCAGGAAGAGGGAGAATGGTGGGTCCTGACTCCACCAAGGGAGGCTGGCTCAGCCCCGCCCCCACGCCCCCCACTGCTCTGTCGATCCTTCCAGGACTGAGTGCAAGTGTGTATGTTCCTGAGTGTGTGTGTGCACAGGAGCGTGTATGGGTGTGTGTGCATGGGATTATTGGTGTACATATGAAAGCATGTATGTGTGCATGAGAGCGTGCATGGGTGTGTACATGAGTGTGTACGCATGGGAATATGGGTGTGTGTGGGGTGTATAGGTGTGTGTGCGTGGGAGTGTGGATGGGTGTGTGCGTGGGAGTGTGGCTGCATGGGAGCGTGTATGGGTGCGTGCATATGAAAGTGTGTATCGGTTGTTGCACGGGCATGCATGCGTGTGTGCACATGGCAGCAGTTATGCATGGGTGTGCATGCCAAAGCATGTGTGCGAGCATGTGATGTGTGCATGCATATGAATGGGTGCAAGGGTGCATGTGAGCGTGTCTGTGCGGGTGTTTGAGTATGCAAGTGTGTGAATGTGTGTGTGCTCACGAGGGGCGTGCCATCAGGAAGCCCCTGCCCTTCAGGTGGCAGGCCCTTCCATTTTAATTCTCACCCGGGAGCCACCCTTGCTTTGGGCACAGGCCACACGGCCCTCTGCCCACCACCACAGGGCAGGACCTGGACCTTCAGAGCCCCACTCCCCATCTTCACTGTGTCTGGTGCCTCTCGTGGAGGGTGCCTGGCTGGACACAGGTGCATGAGAGGGCTCCGGGCACCACCACGAAACCTCAGGCCGGGAGCAGCCCAGCCCCAGACAGCATGGAGACGGAGGGCATTTATCACAGGAGACAGTGCAGATGGGGCATCATTAACTTGTTATTATGGGGCAGTTGGGTGACATCGTGTGTTCCCTGGCCCTCTGGGTTCACCTCCTGCCCACCCAGGCCAGCATGGCTGCAGAGGTGTGAGTGCTTAGGCAGCCCGGTGAAGGACAGGTGGGAACACTAGCACTCTGCAGGTACCCACAGGCCCGGTGCCCGTGGCTGCTGACAGACACCCTCGTGGAGGCCCCAGTCCCCTGCCCCTTGGAGGAGCAGCAGAGCCCAGTGGACAGGGAGAGAACTCCCGGGGCGTGGCCCACAGAGGACGCCGGCCTTGCCGCACAGGACCAGCGGGTGGGGTGGGGAGGAGGGCGGGCTGGTGGGGACTGATTACGGACCCTCCCGCCCCAAACAAAAAAAAATCCCCACACAGAACAAATGAACTGAACGGCGATGTATTTTAAACGCTCATATTTTGTTTCTCCTCTCACGTCGCTCCCTTTGCGTGCTTCTCTTCCACCGTTCTAACGTCACTGTCCGTCAAACCGTGGCACCTGCGGCCGCGATGTTTCAGAGACAATCGTACGGGGAAGCGTTTCAGTCACAGTCGCAGGGAGGCCGGCAACAGGACGCAACAGAGTGAGGCTTTAAAAATGACTCGAAAGGGGAAGAAAACCCTTGAAAGCCTCAGGCCCACCCTCCTGCCCCCAAGGAAGACGCCCCTGTTGCGGCGGTTTCCTCCCAAGCCTTGCCGCCGTCACAGGAGCCCTCTCCTCTGCCATCGTCCGTCCTGGCGTTTCTCGCACGAAGCTTTCACCTCAATCTCTAGAAGCAGAAACAAAACAGTCCCAGCCCTCCCCCCGCCATATCCAAGTATACATGAGGGATAAAATTACATTTGTACAAAAATAGATTTTTTTTTTTTTTTTACCTTTCCAGATGCTTTAGACATTTTCTCTTATCTTTACTCTCTTTATGGATCTGTCATCCTCTCTAAAGTATTAGCTATGCGTCCCAGCTAAGGCATTGCTAAGGATTGGGAACGGCTAAAGCTGTCTGCTCCAAAGCATCTTAAAATAGATGCATCTCCTGCCTTGAGATATTCATTCGAACCCGGATTTCACCAAAGGAGGGTCCTTATGTACTTGCTTACACGAAGCAAATTTATAGGAAAACAGGGGAAATGTCTTGATTAAAAATAAACACAAAACACTGGTAACCGCTCCGCCTCTCCTGCGTGGCACTCGCGTGCGGCTCTCCACACGCATCTCTCTGTACAGCACATACATGTTTACACCGCACACCCGCGTGGACGGGCACCAGGTCACGCGCCCCAACTCCACGACAGGGACACCAGCCGACTACCCACAGGCTGCACACTCTGGCAGGGCCCTCCTGGGTGCCCCATGGGGAGGGGCTCGGGGCCATCTCAGGCACTGCCACCAGGCCGCCAGCCCAGAATTCTTGGGGAACACCGTGCTTGGAAAACCGAAGGTCAGGGCTGTCTTTCCCAGAGGTCGTATGCTTCCGGGGTGTGGAGGGCCAGTGGCTGACACAGGCCCCAGGGTGGAAGCTCCTGGCAGGCCAGCCTCCAAGCGTGCCCGACGCAGCCTAGGGGAACCCAGCTCTGTGGCATCTTCACTCCTCAGCCTAGGAGCGCCATCTGAATGGCAAAGCCGGAAGGTGACCAGCTGAGGTGCCTGCCTGAAGGTGCCGGAGTGCCCCGGGGGCCCAGGAAGCAGCCGCTGGGAAGGGGGGGCCCTGCTGGGAAGTCGCTTCATCCAGCCGGGCCAAGGCGGGGGACAGGCACAGGTGGCTAATGAGCTGATGTTAGTGCTATCTTTAGAAAATTAAAGATTGTCCCACCAAAATAAGAATTACAAAAAAAATCACCTTAATTGAACCAGATTGGTAATACTACTACAGGTCTGGTTAAATAGAAACTCTACCTCTCTACTCAGTGATGCGCCACACTCCCCACGCGTCACCTTTGCAAACCAACAGCACAGTTTGTACAACCACAAGGCCGAAGAGAAAGGGGCAGGAAGAGCCCAGGACACGTGGAGCGGTGGGCAAGGCTGCCGGGGCCACGGAGGTCCGGTTCTGCTTTGAGGGGTTGGCGGCCTGGGGGGGCTTCAGTGCTTTACATCCAGCCAGCCAGCCAGCGCCGGAAACGACCAAGTTCCCAAGAAGAAGCCGACCCCCCACAAGGGAGGCCCGTCCCTGGGCTTCTTCCTCTGGAGCCGCGGGCATTCCCAAGGGTCCCGGCACGGATAGGTGGGTGCTGGCTGCAGAAGGCACCAGGTGTTGGCGTTAGGTCTTTTCACGCTCCCACCACTGGGGCCCCGAGAGTGCCTGCACCCTCCTGCCGTTTCCACCACACCCCCCAGGGGCAGCTGGGGCTTCCTGGCAGTGCCTGGGAGGGGCCCAGCTGGCCAGGGACCTGGTACAGGTGTGAGGCTCAACACTCTGCCTCAGGATGGCTGACTGGGCAGGGGGCCACCTCTGGGGATCCACGACGCTGAAAGGCAGGGGTGGAGGGGGGCAGGAAGGAGGCAGGGGTGGAGGGGGGCAGGAAGGAGAGGCTTGTGGAATCTCTGACAGCCTCTGTCTCGGGCACAGACTCAGCTGCAGGCTCCACCCAGGTGCCTCAGCTCAGCTCTGGCTGGGAGATCCAGGAAGGAAAAGAATGGACACTTTCTTCCCCACCGAGACTGGAGAACTGCCTCTCCAAGCCACTGCCTCCCAGTCCAACCTCCTAGGCAGCTCCCTTCCCCAGTGAGGAAGCCCCCGCTCCAGGTGGGGTAAGACTCTGGAGAAGGCACCCACTCCCCCACATCATTCCTAGACTGCTCCCGGGAAGACAAGAGCCCCCTCCTGTATCCCCCCATCCATCCCCCGTTCAGGCACCTGCGACTGACAAACGCTGGGTCCACGGGACTGAGGCGTGACTAGGAAAAGTACTCAGGCCAAAGGGAGGGCCTTCCAGTGCAAAAGAGGCGAGTTCAACCTGAGAGGGTCCCCACACCACCGGAGCCCGGGGGCAGAGCCTGTGGGAGGAGCGCCGGGCCGCACGGGGCTGAGCCCCCACCACCTTCAACCAGAGCAGACATTCAGTGAGGCTCCCAAGTAAGGCTCTGGGTGAACAACGCTGTCCGTGGACACCACCAGGCTGGGGGGTCCCACCAGGGCCTGCGTGTGGCCCAGGCCCGAGGGCGCTGAAACTCAGGGTTCTCAGATTCCAAGTCTTTTAGACACAACTGGCAGCCAGAGAGAAAGCCTGAGCGGGGGTCCCACCAACGCCCCCGCAGAGCCACTCCAGGCCGCGGAGCATCTGCCCCACCCACGAGACTCCCAGTTCCTGAGCCCCTCTTTCTCCAGGCCACCTGCCCCCTCTGAGGGAAACCGACAGGCCACCCTCCTCCCCTCCCATCCCCGCGGGCCTCACGGATGGCTGCAGGTCAGCAGAGCCCTGTGCCTCCAGCAAGGCCAGTGAGGTGGTGACACCCCGCCCGCCCGAGCCGGGGCCAGCCCTGCAGGAACCAAGGACAAGCCTCGGCCCAGCCCTCAGAGCAAGAAGACTCAGGCTGGGGAGGGGCCAGGGCACTCCGGTCTGAACAGGGAGCAGGGAGTCTGAAACCAGGACACCAAGGCAGAGAGAAAACTGAGGGGTGGTGAGTGACCCCTGTCCCTGCAGCCTGGAGGTGGCCCCAAAACCCTGCACAGACTGTGGCTCATGTTCTCATTGGCTCAAGGGCAAACCTGTGAGTTATCTTTGGAAAAAGGGGCTGCTTCCCCCTCACTCAGAGCACAGGGCAGCCTGCTGGCCCCACGAGTCCCCTCTCATCCCCGAGGCGGCTGAGGTCTCTGCTGACGACACACCAGCCTGCGCCCCCAGCTGTCCCCTCCTCCTGATGAGGGGGAAGCCGTCACAGGCTGGCCAGGCACCAGTATTCAGAGCAGGTGAAGATGTCACTCCAGACAGGAGGGCCACACGAACATTCTGAAAACCAGCATCGATAAACAGCAACGGAAACAAAAACCCCATTCCCAACTCCTGCAGCTCCAGGGCTGGGGCCCGAAGACCCTGCGAGTCGCCCACGCCCTGTGGGGTGTGGCAGGGCGTCCCGAGAGCCCGGTGGGGAGGCGCCTGGCTGGGCTCACCACGCTAGTTCTTGCCACGCAGGCTGCTGCCTCAGGAAAGCCACTGCCCTGGGCACAGACAAGTAGTAACAGAAATAAGGAGGGTGACAACACATCTCTTAGGCAGAGCAGTGACAGGCTGTGCCCCAAAGTCCAAACAGGCCAGGCAGAGAAGGGCAGGGACAGGACTCAGGCTGAGAAGAGCAGCTGGCGTCCAGGCAGGGTGGCCAGACCAGGTGGGCGCAAAGGGTGGGTCCGCAGGCCTAGGTCATTTGGTGCGGCGCCTCCAGCATCTCCATGAGGAAGGTGTCAATGGGCGTGTCCCCAATGAGCTTGAAGAAGAAGAGATGTTCCAGGCACTTGAGCCCGATGGAGCGCAGAGCCGGCAGGCGGAGCAACAGCTTGGCGAACCTGCAGGGAACAGGTCTGCTGAGGGCCAGGCAAGGAGCAGGGGCAGTTCTGCCCTGGCACCTGGAGGCCTCCCTGGGGATGGGGCTGTGTCTGAGAGCCCAACCCATCCGAGGCTGGTCTGTAGCCCTGATTTTGCCTGTGCCAAGCCTCCAGAACGAAGGAGGGGAGGCTAGAAGGAAACAGGGGCAGTGGCATCCCAGAGCCAGGAGAGAGTGAAGGGGGATCCCTGGGGCCGAGGACGGAGATGAAGGGCCAGGGGCCAGACAGCGGCTGCCTATGGCAAGCTGAAGAGTTCTTTGTAAAGAAGTGAAAAATTGTGGGCAGCTGGGCATGATGGCTCACACTTGTAATCTCAGCACTTTGAGAGGCCGAGGTGGGAGGATGGCTGGAGGCCAGGAGTTCGAGACCAGCCTGGGCAACGCAGTAAGACCCTGTCTCTACAAAAGAACAAGAGGAAAACAGCAGCCAGGCGTGGTGGTGCATAATGCCTGTACAGAGGACCACTGGAGCCCAGGCTGAGGCTGCGCTGAGCTACGATCATACCACTGCACGCCAGCCTGGGCAACACAGCGAGACGCTGTCTCTTAAAAAATGGAAAAATGTGGGCCGTGACAGCCAGGAGCGGGTGTGAGGTCAGCAATGCATCTGGCTGCAGCAAGAGACTGCGGGGCCTGTCAGGGAAAGGGCTGCTGAGCACACTGGTGAGTCGCAGGGAACAGGCAGGGCACATGGTGGGTAACCAAGAAGTCAAAGGGCATCAGGTGGGGGAGGGGGAGTCAGGCTGCACCCCCACTGCAGGCGGAGCCGGGCCTGACTTGGGAGCTGTGTACTGGGGCAAGCCCCTTTCCATACAGCGTCAGCACCCCATGAGTGCCTCCCACGGCACCTCGTGCAGGGCTGTGGGCCTCAGACCAGGGCCACCCCTTCCGCAGAAATAGCTCTGCTGGTGTTGGGCACAGCCTGGTCAGAGAAGGCTGGCGGGGGAGGGAGGGTGGGAGCATGGGTTGCTCCTCAGGGCCTGGCCCACCCCGGGGAGTTTCCTGGGGCAGGGACCAGTGGGCTGGCGGGGGCGGCGGGGGGGAAGTCTGCGGCTCTGGGAAGAGGGATGGCAGGGCCAGGCATGAGAGCAGCAGCTGCCGCTGAGGACAGGGGGGACCAGGTGTCCCTCCTGGCTGGCCGTGTCTGCCCCAAGCCCCTGTGCACGGCCTGAGTCTCTCCACACGGCCCCTCCAGGGGCTGCGGGACCTCATTAATTATTAACGAAGTCTCTCTTTCAGGGAAAAGCTCTGTGGTTGGCTGCCTCACAGTCCTTGTTTTAAAGGCAAAAACAGCACAGAGGCTGGAGTCCGGCCAGAGAACAAGCTGTTTTCTGCTGAGCTGGCGAGATGGGCCAGGGCAGAAAGCCAGGAAAAATAAGCTGCCTGCCACCCCCTCCTGTCCTCGTCCTCCGGGAAGTTTCACTTTAAACCAAGCCAGATGAGGGCTGAGCAGGCAGTGGGGACACGGTTAACTGTGTATGTGCTGGTGGCGGGAGGGCCTGGGTGTCCTAGGAGGCCTGCTGGGCCCCACCTCCCCCAACCCCCCACCCACAGTCTGAGGATCAAGAGGCCAGGAGATGCCCCTTTCGAGAGAAGAGGCCGACTCTGGAGAGCTGACTTTGAAACCGAGGGATCCACAGATGCTTCTCTTCCCGGACACCTACTGTGCACCCAGCACTGTGGACTCAGAAACGAGAGAGCCCCAGCCCTTCCAGGGCCCACAGCTGGGCAGGGGAGAAGGATGAGCTCTGCGCGTGGGCCGCGGCTGCCTATTCTGTACACACTTGTAGAGAGTGTTTAGAATGTGTGGGCATCTGGCCATCCACTCTACACATGCTTGTGAAGTACCTACTATGTGCGGGTGCCGCCGGACCTCTGGTGGTTCTGCTTGGCAGGGGAGCGCAGTGGGGGGTGAAGCACAGCCTTCATCTACCTACTTGACAAAGACAAGCACCTACTATGCGCCAGGTGTGAGGTAATCCTTCCGGTGGGGATATCACGTGAGCCTGCGGGGTGTGCCTGCCACAGCCCACTGGCCTGGAGGACCTCCCGCTGCCTGCTCAGGACCTGCTGGCACGGGCTGGGCCTGGGGAGGGTGCCACCTTCTCATTCACATAAAACAGCCCTGCAGCAAGGTGGGGGCTCTGGAGACAAGAGCCCAAGTCTGGGGTGCGTGTGGGACAGGGCGGGACCCACCTTCCCGGCTGCTCCGGGTACTTGTGCTTGCAGTAAGACTCCAGGGACGCGTAGACCTTCTCCCTCAGCGCCTCCACCTCGGCCGGGTTTGAGAGCCCCTTGGAGTCTGAAAGGAGAAGAGGCCACAGGTCAGAGCCCTCAGCTGGGTGTGTTCCAGGCACCCGCCCCCAGGACCCAGGCTTGTGTGGGGTCTCCCAAGCTGCCCTACCATGGGCAGGGCAGGTGGTGTGAGGGACGCCGCTGGACACACCCCCGCCTGCTCCCCCAGAGCCTGGTGGCAGGGGGATGACCGTGGAATCCATGGCCAGGCCAGGCTGCTCTGGGTTCAAGCTCGGCTCTGCCACTTGCCAGCCATGTGACCTTGGGTCAATTATTTGACCTCCAGAGACTCGGTTTCCCCATCGATAAAGTGTCAGGAGTCTGCTGCCTTCCAGCCGCCATGGGAACTGGGAGAGACAACGGAGG